CACTGACAGGATGCTAGCTGATGGGTTCTGGTAAGCAGAGGCACAATTCCCCCCACCCCCCTTATTTTCCTCCCAAAAAACTAAGCCCGACCACATAGTTTCATACTGAAGCACAGGTATCGAGCTCGTGTTATATAAACAGACTTAATTTGGTTACTGAGTTGACTCGTTTTGGGGACTGACATTGAACGGCACCTCATAAAAACTAACCAGTCAGGCTGGATTCGTGCAACATGCTAAACCAATCATTACATAACATACAGTCCTAGGTTAAAAATACTCATCCTTTGGCTCAGAGACGAGGAAAAATTGGGAACCTGTTGAAAACATTCCCAGAATAAAATATGTTCTACAAAAGTTTCCAGAATCAAAACTTTCCTCAGGCAACTTTGACACTTTCAGGATTGTAATGATTGATATTTAGGGGATTTTAAAAAAAAACTGAGAAAGTATAAGTGGATTTCTACTGCCTATGATTTTACTGTGTACAATCCAACATTGTTTCCAATTATTTTTCCCTCCTCTCCACACAGCAGCTTTTGGCATCTTTGTTTATACGGTTCAAACATCCGTTTGGTTAGGCATTGTGTTTATATTTCAAATAGAGGAACCCACATAAGATGGGTGTTCAGATGGATCGTACTTGTTTACAGGTAGTCCTCAATTTATGACCATAGTTGACCCCAGGATTTTGGTCATTAAGTGGCCATCATATGACCAAACTTGATTTATAGCAGTAACTGAGAGAGGGATCTTGGAGTCTTAGTGGACAACCAGTTAATATGAGCCAGCCGTGTGCAGCGGCAGCCAAAAAAGCCAATGCAATCCTAAGCTGCATTAACAGAGGGGTACAGTCAAGATCAAGTGAGGTACTGATACCACTCTATAAAGCCTTAGTAAGACCACACCTAGAGTACTGCATCCAGTTGAGGACACCACACTATAAAAAAGATGTTGAGACTCTAGAAAATGTGCAGAGAAGAGCAACCAGGATGAGTAGAGGATGGAGGCTAAAACATACAATGAATGGTTGCAGGAACTGGGCTTGGCTAGTCTAGTGAAGAGGAAGGACCAGGGGAGACAGGAAAGCAGTCTTCCAATATTTGAGGGGATGCCACAGAGAGGAGGGGGTCAAGTTATTTCCCAAATCACCTGAAGGCCAGACAAGGAATAATGGATGGAAACTGAACAAGGAGAGATTCAACCTGGAAATAAGGAGAATTTTTCTGACAGTGAGAGCAATCAACCCATGGAACAGAAGTTGCCTTTGGAAGTTGTGGGGCTTCATCACTGGAGGCTTTCAAGAAGAAATTGGACTGCCATTTGTCAGAAATGGTGTAGGGTCTCCTGCTTGGGCGGGGAGTTGGACTAGATGACCTACAAGGTGTCTTCCAACTCTGTTAATCTATAATCATGCTCCAACGCTGGAAGTTTTTAAGAAGAGATTGGAAAACCACTTGTCTGAAATGGTAGAGGGTTTCCTGCCTAAGGAGGGGGTTGGACTAGAAGACCTCCAAGATCCCTTCCAACTCTTCTCTTCTCTTCTCTTCTCTTCTCTTCTCTTCTCTTCTCTTCTCTTCTCTTCTCTTCTCTTCTCTTCTCTTCTCTTCTCTTCTCTTCTCTTCTCCTCTCCTCTCCTCTCCTCTCCTCTCCTCTCCTCTCCTCTCCTCTCCTATTCTATTCTATTCTATTCTATTCTATTCTATTCTATTCTATTCTATTCTATTCTATTCTATTCTATTCTATTCATTCCTTACTCTATTCATTCCTTACTTTACTCTACTCTACTCTTATTTCCTATTCTATTTTGCTTAATTCATATTCTATTCTATTCTGTTCTGTTCTATTTTTAGATGGCTTGTAAAACTTCCTGGTTTTTAAGCAGTTTACATGTTGGTTCAGTAAATCCAGCTATCTAATGGGAATTTTCTCTCTTTTGCAAGCTTTCTCTTTGTGCTCTTTGTCTGAAACAAAATAAGCAAAGAAAGATTAAGCTTACGCATGATTTAACCTTCTGGATAAAAGAGTGTGAGCTAATTTTCTCTGAAGTCTTCCTCAAATGCTTTCCCTCCTAGCGTCCCTTAGATAAGATCAAGCCATGGATAGTCCTTGCAATGCCTTTATTTAGTTTCTTGGGCCTTGTGAAGACAACCGGGCTGTGAATGATCCTTCCTGGATGCTACTGTCTGGGTTGTCTTGTCAACACTTCCATAGTTGCCATATTCAATGTTCTGTCTCACCGTTCTTCTTTCCAAAAAGATGAAAGAGTACAAACTCACACAAACACACAGGCAGGCAAGCTGACTCGGACTTCACAGAGTTAAGTCTTTATAACAGATAATGTCCTTGGCATTCCAACACGCTCTGCCTGCCAAGTCCGAAATGATAACAAATAAAAGCTACTCACTGAAACTTACAAGGCAGACCACGAAAAACATTCACAACGAAAAACCTGAAAGAAGAGTAAACTTTGCCCCGTACAAAGTTCCAGCCCACAACACACCCATTTTTATCCCCTGTGGGATGTGGCTCAATGACTCAGCTCACTCTCTGACCCTCCCACGCCTTCTACGTTGCTGCTCACGTTTCTCCCTACGACGCTGCCTAGGATCAAGCCAACATTCGTCCTCTTGACTCCCTGTCAGGGGCTGCTCCGATATGCCTTCCTCCTGATTAATCTCAGGCTGTTCCTCTAGGTTGTCTGCTGAAACCTGAGGCATTATCAGGGAGGAAGGCATTGCCAGAGAGGAAGGTCCTGGGGAGGAAGGCATTCCCTCTTCCTCCTCCTCATCTTCCGAGTCCTCTTCCTCTAACAGCACAAGGCTCGGGAATCGGAGCCACAACAATTCAGTATGATCCAAATGCCCCAAAACAGGAGGGATCTCTGATACAGGTAGCCCTTGACTTACGACAGATTGTTTAATGACTGTGTCAGCTTTGAAAGCCATATTGAAACCAGACACTCTCACGCTGCCACATTTGAGCCCGGGAGTGGGAGGGTGGAAGTTCTTTGGGCATATGTAGTTAGACAAAATAACATTATTTTGTAGTTCAAGATCATGCTATTGTGTGCATATGTGAGGGGAAGTCTTCAGTTGGGACGGATGGTGATTGGGGCCTGTGATATGAAGATGGGTGCAGGGGATGGATTTGTAGTTTTGATTATTGCAAAGAAGCCCGGAATTTTCAGATTTGGGATTCCCCCAGTTGTACCAGTTACTATCCAAATAAAAATTAACTTTTGAGCGATGTCTGTCTCGGGGTTATTGGTTGGAGAGGAGGTTTGCTGGAACGCTGACATTCTGTTTGAAATTTCAGTGGCGCTGAAAAAAAGTGACATATGAGCGTTTTTCACACTGGTGATCGTCACAGCATCTCCATGGACAGGTGGTCAAAATTCGGGTGCTTGGCAGTTGGCCCATAGTTGTGATGGTTGCAGCATCCCAGGGTCATGTGGTAACTTTTTGCGACCCTCTGACAACTCAGAAGTCTGATTTACTCAACATAACTTAACAACTGCAGTGATTCACTTAACAGATGTGGCCAGAAAGGTCATAAAATGGGGGCGGGGGGGAAACTGTCTTGCTGAGCAATGGAAATTTAGGGTTCAGTTGAAGTCATCAGGTGAGGACTACTGTAATGGTTTGAGACTTCATGTGCATGTATGAAATAGATGGAGTTGGGGATCACAATAGGAACACATGTTTGGATGAAAGCATCTAATCCCATGAACCCAGTGGTGGTATTCTACCGGTTCGGCCCGGTTCAGCCGAACCGGTATTTCTTTCTTTTTTTCTTTCCTCCCGACAATCAGCTGTTCTGACAATCAGCTGTCCTGGGATCCCCCTCCCTGTCTTACTGCTTCTCCCAGGAGGCTTCCCTGAGGCCCAGGAAGCAAAAAAAAACGGAGCAGGGGGGGTGGGGTGGGGAGATGTTGCTGCAAAAAAGCCACAACCATGTGGTCACATGGCCACACCCACCAAGCCACTCCCACCAAGCCACGCCCACAGAACAGGTAGTAAAAAAGTATTTGCATCCCACTCCTTCATGGACCCTTCTGCTCTGATCTTTTTACATTTGAATTGACTTTATTGATTTATTTACTTAATTTACTGCCTATGCTGCCCGACTGAGTCAAAGGTTTTAGAAAATCCACTTCTTTGTTTAGAGTTTTGTGCAAGTTGTACTCATAAGATCTTTCACCAACGCCCTTAAGCCCGTGTAAATTTTGCAATGCATTGGTTCTGCTTTTGTTTTGTTTTTTTACACAGTCAGCTTCAAGAGGTGACAATCTTCAGTAAACAGGACAGGAGTGGGATTCTACCAGTTCTCACCCATTCGCTAGAACCGGTTGTTAACATTCTAAGCAGTTCGGAGAACCGATTGTTAGAAGAAATTACTGGCCTAATCCTGTAAGGAAGGCAGGAAGGAAACATTCTGGTGTTGCTTACAGAAACTGCCTCTCCGTTAACCCTTATTATGTTCTTGGCAGGACTAGACTTCCTGTCTCTGGAACTTCTCTGGAGTTTTTCCCCCCTCCTTTGCTGGTACTTTGCTTGTGTGGAGGGACCATTCAAAGTTACAGTGGCACTGAAAAAAGTGACTTATGACCATTTTTCACACTTACAACTGTTGCAGCATCCCCACAGTCATGAGAGGCCAGGCGAGGAGATGCATGCCTCGATGTGAGTGATATTCAGTTGGCCATACCCAGCCATTAACATGATCACCAAGCCATGTCCACCCAGTCACGTGATCACCAAGCCACACCCACTACCAAAGACATGCCCACAGAACTGGTTGTTAAAAATTTGAATCCTACCCCTGAAACAGGATGACCAAAACAAAAACAAAAACAAAAAAGCTTTCTCCACAGCTCCAGAAGAAAAAGAAAACACCCAAATTCTGAAAGGAAGGAAAGGAAGAAAGAGAGAGAGAGAGAGAGAGAGAAAGGAAAAGAGAGAGTGAAAGAGAAAGAGAAAGAGAGAGAGAGAAAGAGAGGAAAAGAGAAAGAGAAAGAAAAAAATAGATTGTAGTCTTTCAATTCTGTTTTGATGCTTTCCCAATGAACTTTTCAACTTTCTGGGGCTGCATTCCAATTTTGAAAAGCAAGCGCCTACATTTCCACTGTCCTGCAACACAACATGATCGTAAAACAGCCTGATTTTGACTAATATGGGATTATTTTGAGCTTAAAAAATACCTTTCATTGCCTTTTTTTGACGTGGCAAATTAGGAAGATTTGCAGGCTGAACAACCAGTCACTGCTAGACCTTGTGCCTGTTTGTGGTTTTTGTTGCTGTGTCTTGAGTTTTAAGATCCTAATGTCACATAAATATTGCAGTTCCTGTTTTGCTATCTATGTCAACTTTTTATCAGCCTACTATTACCATATATTTGTACTTAGCTTACTATCACTTTTATATACATATTTTTTATTGGGGCTTTATCATTTAGTTGCAAAATTGTGGATTTGGCTGGTGAGTGTCCACAATAATTTGTTCATTGCAAATTTAGTTCTCTTCTCTTCTCTTTCCTTTTCTGTAACAGTTTCACTTCTTTTTCAGTTATCCTGGACAGATATCCTAAAATGTCCAACCTGGTGCCTGTCATTTCCCAGAAAGATCTCGAGAACATTTCCCTGAGTCAGACAGGCTTTGGCATCTCGCTGAAAGCCTTCCACGTGGCTTGGAACACGGATGTCTCCGTGAAGCTGTTGAGTAACCAAAGAGCAGGAGAAAGGTTGGTTTATTTATTTTATTATGATTCATTACACAGTCAGCCAGATAGATGTTCAGACTGAATCTGGCATTGTTGTCCACCTATCGAATCCCCCCCAAGGAGCTGGCATAGGCAAATGTTGACGTTTTAGGTGTCAGGGTTATCATTGCAGGATTTAAGCTGCTTCAAGTAAGGCTGCCTTTTGCAATTGACTAAGGGTGGATTTGTCAATGCCAATGATGTTCAAATATTGCTCCAGTTGTTTTGAGGTTGCACCCAAGGCACCTATGACTATTGGAATGACCTTTGCTTTCTCTTGCTACAGTCATTCTATTTCTATTTGTAGGTCCTTATATTTTGTTATTTTCTCACAGTTCCTTTTCTTCTATTCTGCTTTCCACAGCTACTGCCACATCCATTACCCAGACTTTTTTTCCTCTTTCTTACTGACAATTGATAAGTCCGGGGTGTTAAGCAGCAGGTACCTGTCTGAATTCTAAAGTCCCAGTTCAGTTTTAAATTACCGTATTTAGTTTCTGGTCCCACCAATTTTTGCTTGCAGGCAAATGGTACTCCTTGCAGTGCAGGATTGTTGCTACATTATCATGCCGTTGTTTGCAGTCAGTCTGTGCAATCTTCTTGCAACAGCTAAACACCGTTTCTCCAGCTTCTTTGCAGAGGTGGCATTTGCTAAACTGTCCCTTCCATTCTGCATGCATTTGTTCTTAAGGGTCTTGTGCAGAATTAGCCCCTCTGTCTCTTTCTTCAACATACCTGCTCTTGTTCCGTCCTAGGCCTCCCCAAAAAGCACTAAGTCAATTCTGAGTCCCGGGAATAATCTCTTTTATTACATTAATGTGAATTTATTTCATCCACAGTCAGCCAAGAGCTTGGCAAACAGTCTTGCGGAAGTAGACTAATGAGCTTAGACCTTTATCAATCTTGCAATGCTGCCTGGTCAAGAGTTCCACACTCACTGCTGACAGGGAAGGGCTGGGTATACAGACAAATCTCCAAGAGGCTAAAACAAACAAACGACCCAACGAGCAAGGTGTTTCCTGCAAGAGGCCCCTCCCCTTTTGCTTCTCTTTTAATCCTGATGGGAGGGGCCATCCATCATCCACTTGTGGCCTTACTCCTACGTCAACCCTGAGTTTTTAATTGCACCTTCCTATTGGCAGCTCTGCGCGTGTGCAGGCTGGAAACTGGTTCCAGAAGCTCCCCCACCTCACTGCTGTCCAAGCTGAAAGGCAGCTGATGACTGCCAGCCTGCCCTGGCCCCATCTCTGCCTCTGACGCAGAGCCCTCGTCTGAGCCTTCCTCAGCCTCCAGGAATGGCCCAGGTTCCCTCCCCAACTTCCTCACTACTGTCCGAATCTGTTGGCAGCTCTGCCAACCGCTGGTGGGTCACAACAGCTCTTAGCCATTGCCAGCTCTTGTTCTTATTTGTTTTCCCTGCTGTTTTTTCTTCTAACATGCTGGCTGTGTGAGGCTTTGTCTTCCCATGGTTTGTTTTATTTATTTATTTTATCATAATTCTCTGCCGCCGATCACACGTGTGATTTCCTGACTGTTGAATGAGGAAGGCTCTCAAAGAGCACAAGCTGAGCTCTCTTTAGAAAGTTTCTGGATATCCACCACCTCTCTGCTATTCTCTGAAGCCACCTCTTTTTCACACTTCCTCAGAAGCAAGGGTGTTCGTGGTATGTGTGTGTGTAAAAGACATATTTGACCAGGAAGTGACTTTGATCATGAAGGAGCATGTACCAGGGTGCTGTCAGGCACAAAGAATCAGGACCATACATTAAGTTATCATTCAGAAGATTTATTGCTCATGCCCGATACACAAGAATCTAGTCAACCAAAGTTCAACACTAAATTGGCACCGGATAAGGGTTAATGGGATTCAAGAGGGGTTGGACTTGGGAACATTTGTGGCAACCTAACAACTCTAGGCTGATGACTCATTTAACTCCACCCCCTAGCTTTGCCTGTTCTTCTCTTACAGGTAACGCTCATTCATTGTACTTTGGATGTGCCGATTCCTGCTATTTTCCCAAACACAACTGCATAATTGGTGGTAGTCGGAAAGGCCATTCATGCTTTCCCCATGAAAAGTTTTTTTTAAGACAATTAAAAAAGAAAAGTCAAGATGTTGACCACAATGTAATTGAAGCCTTGCCCCCCCTTTTGTGTGTGTTGTGTTGTGGCTACCATCTTGACTGGATAAAACCTCATGCAGACCTTCCTTCCAAGGAGCCTGAAGAAAAGTTACTCTAGTTAGTTCTTGAAGGACCACTCGTTCAGTATCAGTTATGTTGGCACTGAACTAGGAGACTTACAATTGATGTGTTAGCAGCATGACTACTATTATGACAACCCAGGAGCAAAACACAGCACACGGAGACTTAGACACTTAACAATGGTTTATATACAAGACATATACAGAAATATACGTGGTAGGCAAAATACCTTACAAGCAATCTTTCTTCTTCTTAACTCTAGACAGAGAGTTCTGCAATGAATATCGGACACAAGGAGAGAGAAACAAGGCTGCCTTATATAAACTTCTCTTAAAGTGGTAGAACCCATCCTCAGCCTTAAAGAGGCAGTACCAATGCTGTGCTGATTCGTCCTCATTGTATCAGCCTTATATTGCATCAGCTTCACTGTTGGTCTGCTCTTAACATGATGCACAAAATTGCAGCTGTCATGGTGTCCCTCCTGTCACAGCAGCTACAATCAAAGGAGAGAAAATGGAAGCACACACTGATAGATCGTTTTGCAGTAACAAATGATTGTTGTCTTGTTCCGTTGAAACGGTCTGACATGCAGATCTTTTCCCCCTTGCAGAGACTTCAGGGCCCTGCTTCAAGAAGCAGCAAACACACAACGTTTACAATGCAACCATCTCTTGCCGCTTTTGGGTATTTGCCAGTTCCAAGGTTTCCTTGGGGTTGCAACGACATGGATGCACAATGGATCTCTCTCTTTGCTCATTCATGATGTAAGTTGGAGAAGCAAGAGAAAAATCCAGGGGCGGGGCTTCAAAAATTTTAACAAAGGGTTCTCTGCCCATTTGCTAGGTGGACATGGCCACGGTGGGCATGACCTAGTCGGTTTCCTGCACCACGGGGGGTGGGGGGGCATTTTCACTCTCCCTGGGCTTTCCTTGAACCTCTGGGAGGGTGAAAACGGCCTCCCCAGGCTCTGGAGGCTCTTTGGGAGCCAAAAACGGGCCCATTTCTGGCCTTCCCGAACTTCTGGGAGGCCTGTTTTTCAACTCCCTGAATCTCTGTGCTTGCCCTGCACTTACCTGCATCCAAAATGGGCCACGTGGGGATTCCTGGGAGGGCCGGGGTAAGGTGGGCGGGGATTTGGGGGGTTCTCCAAACTGCACAGAATCTTAGCTAGGGGTTCTCCCAAACCCCTGCAAACCCCCAGCAGCCCAGCCCTGGAAAAATCCCCTTGGCTGGCTCTCCTTTGGAGGGGTGCGATGGAATGTAGTAAGGAGTTGGATTCCCAGGAGGGAGGGGCTGCATTCCAGAGGAGTAAGAGGCAGCTCAGTTCAGATAGTTTGCGTGAGAGAAAGGGTGAAGACGGCTCCTCCCTAACAGTTCCCAGAGTATAGGGTTCTTGCAGATAGCAGCATGCTTCAGCTTGGCAAGATTCTGTCTACAAGGGTGGAATAATAAAGGCATCTACTCGGAAGAAACGCCACATGCCTTTCTTGGTTTTGGGAGCCTGGCAATGAAGCAATGGCATGAAGAAAGTAAGGCTCAGATAAGGCGCTGTTGCCCAGAAGAGAAGCTCTTGGAATAGAACAAGCAGAGATTCAGCATCTTAGCACACCAGAATAGGACTTTAGCTTGTTCCTTCAAATGAACTACTACCCTTCTTAAAAACAAATGTTGGTTTATCATCTTAGCTTGGAAAGGCCACACCCAACCAGCATCTCACATGAGGCAAAACATTCTGGGTTAATTTATCCATTTTCAACTAGCAGAAGGAGGAGCTCAGGATTTTCCTGCAAATCTCTAATACCTTTAATATGGAAATACCGCCTGCATGTTAAAACTGTGTTTTGAAAAACAGTGTGTTCAATAAACTTTCTCCCCCCTCAGCATGAACTCTATCCAGATCTGCCTGTTCCTTTGAGCATAAGGATCCTGTCAGATGTTGCTACGGGTCTAAGCTACCTTCACAGTTTGGAGCCTCCTGTTCTTCACCACAATCTCAAACCTTCCAATGTCTTGTTAGATCTTGAATACAGAGCGAAGGTAGGCATTTCAAACATTTCCTCCCTTCCTTTTGACTGGGTGTCAGAACAAAACTTTAATTGCACCCGGGGACTCTTCCTGAACTATAGATAGTGCCAACAAATCCACCCCCATTCAAATCATAAGTCTCTAGCCATATCTCTCAGAGTAAAAAAAAATGATTTATTAGGAGTGACCATGCTGGCATTACCTGGGTGCAGCCAACACTAAGACACATCATTCATTTCCCCCTTGACCCTGGTCTTCCCCCCACCCCCCCTGGATGTATATTCTCCAGTCGGACACATCCATAGCCAAGAGTCATCAATCATGCTCTCCAGTAATATTGGGCTGCCAAGGCAATTATCTGAGGCATTTAAGGAATGTACTGCTTTCCCCATTCCATTTCTGCTGACGACAAAGGTGTTTTTTAAGTGAGTCATGCCTGACTTTGCAACCTTTGTTGCCCCAAATATTAAGTGAATCACTGCAGTTGTTAAATGAAACATTTGGCTGTTAAGCGAACAGGGCTTCCCCACTGACTTTGGGAAGGTCACAGATGGCAATCACATGACTCCAAGATATTATAACCATTGTAAATGCATGACAGATGCCAAGTGCCCAAATGTTGATCATGTGACTATGGGGATGCTATAACCGTCATACGTTTTAGGACTGGTCATAAGTTGCCTTTTTTTCAGTGCTGTTATAACTTCAAGCAGTCAGTAAGGAAATGGTTGTATGTTGAAAACTACCTATAGTGAACACCTGCCTGGTTTCATAAGTTATCTTTCCATTTGGATATGGGAACTGGGTATGTCTAGTCTGATGAAAAGAAAGACTGGGGGAGACATGATAGCAATGTTCTGATATTTGAGGGGCTGCCAGTGAGCCAGGGAGCACTGATGGTGGTCCGCAGAGAAATGTCACCCCCAAAGCAATCAATCCAGGCTGCACGCGAACACAAGGCTGTGCCGCCACATGACACACGGGAACACAAGGCTTGCATCGCTTGCATTGTGAACAACACGAGGTAGTGAGGGGAGGAGAGAAAGAGTGGCCCCACATGCCTGGCCTGGCCACCGGGCTGCTTTTTTCCATTTCTTTCTTCTGCTTTTGGCTGCACGCAAGGAAAGCAGCAAAAGTCTTTCTTTCTCTCCCCCAAACTCTGCCAGAAATGAGTCTTTGGGACTCTGCAAGGCATCCTGCTCCAAGATGCTGCACCAGCGCGAGAAGTCTCACAAAGACTCATTTCTGACTGAGTTTGGGGGAGAGAAAGAAAGACTTCTGCTGCTTCTGCTGCTTTCCTTGCATGAAGCCAAAAGTCTCTCTCTCTCTCTCTCCCCCTGAGAATGGAGCTGGAGACGGTATCCTGAGATCCCAAATAAAGAATGATCGATCAGTAGGAAAACAGGGTGGGGAATTTTCCTGCAGATTTTTTTTTTGGGGGGGGGGGGGTTCCCAGGGTCTCTGGTCCTCGGGATTTAAAATTATGAGTTTGGTGGTCCCAAATGGTTGGTGACCCCTGGTCTAGAAGACCTCCAAGGTCTCTTCCAATTCTGTCATTCTATTCTGCTCCATTCCATTCCACCCCAATCCTAATCCCAATCTAATTTTGCAGATCTCAGATTTTGGCCAACCCGCCTGGAGAAAACAGCAGCTGAGGGCAGCTTTGCACAACTGTAACAGCAGTAGTTGCTGGGATTTGCTCTGCCTGTCTCCTGAAATACTTCAAGGAGGTCAATTCTCACAAGAAGGAGATGTTTATAGGTGAGTCTTACTTTAAGAAAAGAATCTCGGGGCATTGTTTGTCAAGGTGAAGCAATAGTTCAACTGTATGGTAGGGTTAACTAATCTAGATATGGTGGATTGTCTGACCAGGAGCCCAACCAAGTTGCTTCTTTACTTTTCATAGTAAGCTTGTATTAGATTTCAAAACTGGAAAAAGAAGGAAGTCATACATTTTCCCTTAGCAATGGAGTAAATGGGTATTTTGGGAGCTGATTCTTCCTCATCAAGAGGCTGTTACTGATTGCTGAGTTCCAACTGTGAGGAAAACTGGCTTTGGAGGTGCAGGAGCATATTAGCAGGATGAAACTACAAAAGGAATGTGTTATTAGTTGTGGAATAATGCAAGTAGGAGAGTTATTACTGTGTCTTAATTATGGCTTCTTCAGAAGCAACAGATTGGCCAAGAATTTAGTCTTTGGTGGGGGTCCCATTTCATTTTTTTAAATGCATTGTGTACCCTTAGATTTTAATCAAACCAGATTTTGTTAAGTCCAAGAATACTCAGTTTCTATCACATTTAGAAACTGTAGCTAGAGTTTTTCCAAGTCAACTTTCCAATTTGTTTTTGTAAAACAAGGAGTGAACAGTTAATATAAATTTTATTTATGTATGTATTTATTTCTTTGTCAAAAGCTTGCAATACAACATAAACAAGAATAAACATAAGTTTAAATACAAGAAATAGGAACCAATAATTGGGGATAATAGGACAGGGATGGTAGGTATGATGGTGTGCTTATGCACGCCCCTTACAGACCTCTTAGGAATGGGGTGAGGTCAATAGTGGTTAGTTTGAGGGTAAAGGAGTGGGAGTTGGAGCAGGTGACAACAGAATCAGGTAGTGAGTTCCAGACATTGACCACTCTGTTGCTGAAATTGTACTTCCTGCAATCGAGTTTGTAGTGGTTTACATTTAGTTTATATCTGTTGTGTGCTCTTGTGTTGTGGTTAAAGCTGAAATATTCATTAACTGGTAAGACGTTATAATATCCAGAAGAATCATATTGCCTTTACTCGAAGAATACATCATCCTAGGTGTGGAAATGGTACGGTTGCTGTGATCAGTTGAGCATACAAGAAATGATCCCATCATTGTAGAATCAAATGCAAGGCCTCCAAAACCCACCAATAATCACTGCAGTTACTATTTATTCAGTGTGCTCTGGAGGAATTTCCATCCAGAAAATAATAACAGAATGATATTGTTGGTAAAGACCTTGGAGGTCTTCTAATCCAAACACTGCTCAAGTAGGAGACCTATGCAATTTGGGACAAATGGCTGTCCAGTCTTTTCTTAAAAGCCTCCAGTGTTGGAGCACCCACAGCTTCTGAAGGCAAGCCGTTTGACTGGTTGTTGTCAATCTTCGGAAAGTTTTCCTTACTTCTAGGTTATTTCTCTCGATTAGTCTCCATTACTTCTTGTCCTGCTTTGAAGAATAGGTTGATCCCCTCTTCTTCATGGCAGCCCCTCAAATATTGGAACACTGCTACCATGTCACTCCTGATTCTTTGTTTCACTAACTAGACAGACCCAATCCCTGCAACCGTTCTTCACATGGTTTAGTCTCCAGCCCCCTAATCAACTTTGTTGCTCTTCTCTTCACTCTTTCCAGAGTCCCTAACATCTTTTTTTAATAATGTGTTGACCAAAACAGTCTTCTAAGTCTTCTAAGTATGGTCTTACTAAGGCTTTTCCATGCGGTACCAATACTTCACACGATCTTGATAAGAGGGATAATAATATTCCTTCAGACAAAAGGATACACTCATACTGATCAATAAAGGAGAATATTTGTAGCTCAGGATTGAAATGAGGGGCCTTTGGTGATCTTGGAGGTCAAGAGGTGCTAAGGAATTCCAATGTAACAGGTGCATTGGGCGGGGAAACTGTCTAGATAAGAGATGTTACCAAATAACACCTGGTTTTCCTTTTCATTGTTTGTGTCTAGTTTTGGCATGATGTGTTGGGAACTCCTAAGTCGACAAAAGCCACTGACAGGTAAGCAGTCTAATAAAATGCTCAACCTAAAGTAATCTTCCTTTGAGTGGGTCCTTTCCTGCAGGTAACCTGACTGGAATCTCACCTTCTCTTGCTGTTGCATAATGGAAAATACTGTCCAGGTAGGCCTTGACTCATGACCAATCACTTAGTAATCATCTGAAGTTACAGGTTTCCTGAAAAGGGGGACCTACCACTTGGATCTGAAATTCCAATGATCACGCATCCTCCGTGGAATATGGAAATTGGAAAAAAAATATTATCAGTGGTTGCAAGTTGGACCAGTTCTGTGAAGAATTGCTATAAAAAAAATTAGAAGAAAGAAAAAAAGTCTGATTTTTGGTTTAATGCTGCCCCCTTGTGTTTTTTTAACTTTCTTTCATGTTGTGTGCATACACACACACACACACACACATATATCAGTGCTTCAGTATAAATGTGTACGTCCAAGCATGGGAAGTTTAAGACCTGTGGACTTCAACTCCCAGAATTCCCCAGGCAGCCATGGGAATTCTGGGGGTTGAAGTCCACAGGTCTTAAACTTCCCATGGTTGGGCATCACTGGTAGAGGCTGTTAATAGCAGGGTTCTTCTGTACATAACTTTTATTTCCCCCTTCTTTTAGGAAAAAAGACTTTGCTTCGAGCTATAACTGGGATCTGCAACGGTTTACGCCCAGGGATCGAAGCAGCATTCATACCAAATGTACCTCATCGGAACAGGCTGGTTCGGCTGATGCTTCTCTGCTGGCACCAAGAACCTCATTTCAGACCTGGTGCCACAGGTAATATTCTTCTCAACTGCTGAAAAAGTTGAGTTGGCTTTTTTACACCTGATTTAGAAGTGGGGATTCCCTGCTCCTAAAAATAGTGATGATTGGCTGGGGGAATACTGAGAGTTGAAGTCCATCCGCCTTAAAGTAGGCAAGTTTGAGAGACACTGTTCTAGAGCAAGGGTCTTCAAACTTGGCAAGTTTAAGACTTGTGGACTTCAACTTCCAGGATTCCTGAGACTACATGACTGGAGGAGGAATTCTAGGAGTTAAAAGTCCACAAGTCTTAAAGTTGCCACATTTGGAGACCTCTGCTCTAGAGAAATGCTATGTTATTCTGAGGTATCTCTGTGAAAGTCTTGCTGGCTGCAATAACACATGGAAATAGCCACGCTCAAGCAAAGATTGCATGGAAATGACTGGTGGAGGGAAGCTTTGTAAATGTGAACATGATTAGGGGACTGGAGGCTAAAACATATAAAGAACATATAAAGATTGCTGGTATTGGGTATGTCTAGTTTGATGAAAAGAAGGACTAGAGGTGATGTGAGCAGTGTTCCACTAATATGAGGGGCTGCCCTAAAGAAGAGGGAGTCAAATTATTCTCCAAAGCCCCAGAGGGCAGGACAAGAAGCAATGGGTGGAAACTAACGAAGGAGAGAAGCAACTTAGAACTAGGGAGAAATTTCCTGACAGTGAGAACCATTAACCAGTGGAACAACCTGCCTCCAGAAGTTGTGAATGCTCCAACATGGGAAGTTTGTAAGAAGAGATTGGATAATCATTTGTCTGAAATGCTACAGGGTTTCCTGCCTAAGCAGGGGGTTGGACTAGAAGACCTCCAAGGTCCCTTCCAACTCTGTCATTCTATTCTATTCTATTCTAGTCTAGTCTATTCTAGTCTAGTCTAGTCTAGTCTAGTCTAGCCCATTCAATTCCATTCCATTTCATTCCATTCCATTCCATTCCATTCCTCACAAATGAGTTGTTATTGTGTTTTTCTGTTGACAGAATGTGAGGCATTTCTAAAGGATATCCTCAGTACCTTTCCAAAGGACGTGATTTCTGATGGAATTTACAACTTGATTCATGCCAAGGTGAGCCAAAAGAGGGTTTAGGATCCCCCATGGTTTGGCTATAGACCATTTCTTTTCAAAAACCACCATTTTAAAAAGGCTTGGTGACAAAATCCTCTAATTGTGATTAGGATAATCATGATCTCCCCTGTTGTGCTTGATGTACTGTACCTCATATGATACCATCTGCTATAGCAAGGTTGGCATTTTCCCTGCCCTTCTTCAGCATGAGAAATTAAACAGAGCTCTTTTTAAAAGTACAGATAGTCCTCAACTTACGAACAGAATGAAGCCCTAAATTTCTAGCACTAAGTGATGAAATTGAAGAGAAGAGGTTTTCTCAGAAGCAGAAATCTAAGAAAATGATTTCATGGCTTCCTTTGTATCTTTCAGGAATGTGCAATCAATGCTGCCAAAGGTCCAGTTTCTCACATGCTTGAAACAGGGATGCGCAATTTAGAGGTGAGTAGAAGACGGTTTAGGAATCTTGCATTAAATTTAGCGATTATCCTTTATGTGCCAAAAGGTGCTTTTTCAGGAGGCAACTGGACTTTTCTTGTTTTTTCCTTTTGAAGACGTTTCGCTTCTCATCCAAGAAGCTTCTTCAGCTCTGACTGGATGGTGGGGAATGGAAGGATTTATATTCCTTGCAGACCGCTGGTCATTTGCGTCCTTTTAGAGGGTGGTTGAGGCCACTTGGGAGGTTTATCTGTGTCCTCGGGGCCACCTGAGTTAGTGCTCCTGGTTCCTCTGGGACAACCATGACCTGGATGACTGAGAATCTCTATAGACTTTTAGCTATACAATTTGGGATGAGCACTCTTGGAGTGGTGTGGGAGTAGAAATGGATTTCCAGAGCGGAAAAAATTGCAGACTACAGGAACCATTAACACTATTCGAGTGATTCTGAGGACATAGATAAACCTCCAAGTGGCCTCAATTACTCTCCAAAAGGATGCAAATCACCAGCTATCTGCAAGGAGTATAAATCCTCCCATTCCCCACCATCCAGTCAGAGCTGAAGAAGCTTTTTGGATGAGAAGCGAAACATCTTCAAACGGAAAAAACCAGGAAGTCCAGTTGCCTCCTGAAAAAAGCACCTTTGAGACAACCATGATCTGGATGACGGAGAATCTCTCCAATGTCCTTTATATTTGATTACAGATAATCCTCTACACACAACCACAACTGAGCGCCCAATTTCGGTCATAAGTCATGATGCTCATAAAGCAAGTTGCCTCATGACCACACCTAAGTTTACGACCTTTTCTGCAGCTGTCATTAAATGCTCATTAAGCAGACTTTGCTATGGGGAGATTTTTGCTGAATACCAGAAGTAAACCCCAGTTTCTGGCAAAACGGTCATAAATTGTGGTGACCTCACAACAGGATTCCCTAACAGTTGTAAATGTGGGCTAGTTTCCAAGCACCTAAAATTCAATCATGCAACCCCCGAAGGGGATTGGAATGTCAAAATTTTGAATTTGGGCCATGTCCCTTTTTTCAGGGTTTGTTTTAACTTTGAGAAGTCAATAAGCAGCCGGTCGTAAGTCAAGGACTACCTACAGCAGGGGCACCTTCAAAATGAATCAGAAATCAAGATGATTGATTGCGCCTAGGATTGCATACATGAATTGAGTTTGGGCGAATACCAATACTTTTCCAACGAGAGAGAATCTTTTTCCTTTATCTCTGATAGTAAAATCGTATATGATGCCAATCCAATCCCAACTATAGGTACAAATATACCCACAATTCTGGGGATTAAATATTCTGGAAAATACCAAAATGTTTATCGGTTGTTTTTTTTTTTTTTTTGGTGTAGAACATGGCAATGTGGATATTTTCACCATAGCCAGGAGTTTGCTAGGAAGTGGTTCATAGTATACAGGTAATCCTTGACTTAACAATCATTCGTTTAGTGAGTGTTCAAAGTTACAAAAAGCACTGAAAAAAAGTGACTTACGACCACTTTTCACACTTATAACCATTGCGGCCTCTCCATGGTCCTGTGATCAAAATTCAGATGCCTAGTAACTGACTCATATTTATGACGGTTGAAATATGTTAGGCTTATGTGATCACTTTCTGAGGGCAAAGTCAACCCTGTTACTAACTTAACACCTGCAGTGATTCACTTAACAGGTCATAAAATAGGGCAAAATTTTTACTTAACCACCGTGTTATTTTGCAACTGAAACGTTGGTCCTAACTGGGTTGGTAAGTTAAGAACTACCTGTTATCAGGTTTTGTTTAATCTTCTCATTAGAATTCATACAACTTTCTAAAGATGCGCAGCTCTAAGAAAGAGAAACATTTGGTTAATATTGTTATTGCAAATGATGTCATTTCTCGTTGCTTGCTTTAGATCATCTGTCCTCAGGATAACAATGTGCCCAACAAGGAAATTGTGTTAAAACCGCAGAGCTTATCACATGAAACAGGAAATCCAGGGAATAAATTGAACCAGACACTCCTTGTCAGCAATACACCTCAAGAGGCAGCCTTAGGAAGAGGTAAATGTTTGTGTTAGCTCTTAAATCAGTTGAAATGAAAGGTGTTGATTCTAAAGAAGGGTGTGCAGTGAGATTGGGGAGGAAATGTCAAAGGCATGTACAGTCCTAATTTAGCAAGACGTTGGCAATTATATGGAGAAACCATGGTTTACGAATATGGGTGTGTATTTGTGTGGATTCTCCTTGTGGAATGCAATTTCTCCTTGAGAAATGCAACCCGGCAGAACGTCATGATTAATTGTGTTGGAAAATAAATCATTATAGAATACTAACAATGCACCTGAAATAGTGTTAACTGTGAACAAACTGTTAAGTGTGGAACAGAAATTAAAATAGAAGATTATCTAAAAACAAAAAAATGAACAGAGTATGAAGGAAAAGCAAGCACTGTCATTAAGGCATTTGGCTAACCGGTTTTGCAAACCATATGAGTGGTTTTAAAGAACATGCAATCCAACCGCAATGATTAGGCCATGTCTATCCTGGTTTACTTGGTTATCAAAGAATTGTGTTCAAAATGTCATTGGAAGAAGCCCAACAGAAGATATCTATTCTACACTCTCCCAGTAAACCTATAAACAGGCCCTTTTTAAATTTAAGACATGGAGACGATGTCCCAAAGGTGTTTTTTCCAAAAAGACAATTGGACTTTCTTGGTGGTGATTCATCTTTGTTGAATCTACATGCACGTATGAATCCAAGCTTCTTGGATGAGAAGTGAAATGTTTCCAAAGGAAAAACCAAGAAAGTCCTGTTGACTTTTGGAAAAAGCACCTCTGGGACAACCATGACCTGGATATTTGAGACTCTCCATTGAGACCTGGAGCCAGTCTCATACCCAGAAATCAAGATCCCCCCAAATATATTGTTTCCCTTTAGCCAAAGAGTGATCATGATCTACAAGAGCGCTCTCCAAACTTGGCAACTTCAAGACTTGGGGATTTCAACTCCCAGAATAGCTTAGCAGGCCATGCTCACAGGGGAATAGTGGGAGTTGAAGTTCACAAGTCTTAAAGTTGCCAGGTTTGGAGACCCTTAATCTACAGTACAACATCCTTCCTTTGGGTGTTTAAATAGTTAATGTTCTTCTTTAGTTGGCTCTGTTGCTGATTGTTGAACTGAAGTGAGTTCATCCAGTCTCTCTGGGCAGAGCAATAGGTGAATAGCTGAGACTAGTCTGCCTGTCCTATAAGTTATTTTTCTAACAAGATTGTCACATGTCAGCAGGATGTAAAACAAGTCTGAACAAACAACGCTGGGGTTTGAAGGTCACCCTAGAGTTGCTTCCCATCTGATTTCTTCTCCACTCTGTTTTTAAGATTAGATCAGGAACACCTCATTTTTGCGTGTGTGTGTGTGTAGGTGTAAAAAAGCACGCTTAGGAAATCTCCCCAATGCTTGTTAAAACCTCTTTGGTGATTCCATATGCATGTATGGATTTGACAGCTGTTTCCAAGACATTAGAAAATCTGATGAAAAAAGAAATCCAAAGAAAACCTTAAGCTGAAGATCGAAGTATTTTTTTAATATTACGTAAAGGGGAGGAATAGATTAGAGAACTAACTTGTGCGTGTAGATGGAGTTTTCTGAAACAGAACAGAAAAGGAAAAAAATGTAATAGAAAAAGGAAAAGGAAAAACAATAAAGATATGGGGGCTTCTCTTGCATGACTATACATATATACAGTTCTATATGTCACTAAAGAATGACCATATTTCATTATAATCATAATTCTCATTTGTAAACACATTCAAGGATTGGAAGCAATAGTTTGAAACACTGTTTACAAACATCTTCCTTACGACTGATTTTGGAGTTCATACAGATCTTATATCAAACCTTCTCCCATAAAGGGAGGAGAAAGGAGAGCGAGCTAGAGTGGAAGGTCAATTGGTTGGGCCTTGATTCAATAAACTTGGACAACAGTTGTCCAGAACGGTGTAGACTTCTTGACTAGGGGTTGGGACTAGAGCACCTGTAGGACCTCCACCTTCCAACTCTATTATTCTGTTATTGTGCATTCAACAGACCAAGTTTCATGCTCATTTAAGTGTCCATTAACTGTGTCTATGGATATGATATCAATTCTTCAATTGATGTAAACATCACCCTACCGATGATGCAAATTGGTTCAAGTGATGTCAGTTGTGCAATGACATCATCATGCTTAGAGTATAAAGTGCCCCAATTGTGTTCTTTTGCATTTAATGGACTTTTGCGGATAATGGACACCCCTCGCTTCCAGTTAAAATGAGGTTTCCAATACCCAGCCAGTTCCCTGCCTAGAACCGTTCTCGGCAGGAGAACAGGGGACATCGATATAATCTTGTATATTCTTCTTTTAAAGTTTTAGATTTAGTTGGAGAACTTTAGCACTATTATTATAATTCATTACAAATTCATCAGTTCTGCCAAGGGTTGAGACAAAAATCAGGTGCCCAGGCAATTGGTTCTTTTGGATCTAGAAACATTGAGCGTACCACTGAAGAAAGAGACTTTAGCTTTGTTATTAACTCAAGCAAACAGATTTTTATCAAAATCTGGCATCATAATCTCATGGTCTTATGATAGTCAGGAGACTGCAAGATCTGACCTTCACTGGGTAGCATATGATTTTGGGATGGGAATCAAAACTCTGAGACTTTCACATTGAGAAAAGCTTGGAAGCTATGTCAAGATTCCTCCTCTTCTCCTTTATTCAGTAAATGAATTTTATCTGTACTTTATCACTATTCCTTCATCCCTTTCTTGATTTTTATTTTCACAATTGTTGTGATTGTGATGGAATCTTTTAGTTATACCATGAGTGTTTTAACTTTTCTGTTACAAATTGTGGAAGCCACCAAGAATATTTTTAATTGATTTTCTATTAAATACATTTCTTAGTGCTTAATAAACTTCATGTTGTCTGGGTATTTAATTTGCTTAACAATACAAATTTACATTCTTAATCTCCACCCCTTTTTTCCAACCATTGGTAAAATAAATTCCGTGATTGTTAATATTCTATGTTCTCCTTCTGCTTAATTTTCAATATCAATCTATCCATTTCTGCACAATCTAGTATCTTCCTAACTATCTCTTCATCTCACTGTGTACCTTCATTTTTCCAGTATTGTGCGAATATAATCCTTGCTGATGTTAAGACATGTAATATTTACATACTTTTCCGATCAATTTTTTTCTGATATTATACCTAATAAGAACAATTCAGGTTTAAAATCTACCTGTTTCCCTATCATCTTTTCTAGCCACCTACACCAAGAATCTTTGATTGGTTGTAAATCTGAAAAACAAGCGAACTCAATGCAATATATTCCTTATTTGGTATGAACCGAACTAAATGCATGTTCTACCATTTATGACGTGACCAATAAAACCATTCATGTGTCCCTCTCAACACTTCCATTGTTGTTTGGCATTCTTTCTTGCAGATCCACCTACACCTGCCAGCAATGGATCAAGTGCTCCATCCATTCCACCCCATTCAAAGACAAGCAACAATAAAACTAGGTCTTTCGGCAATGAGTGCAAAGGTCACCAGCCTCCATTTCCGCAAACGGTGGGAGAACCAGCTTCTCTCAAAAACTGTCCAAACAGTTGGCCCAACAGCACATTAATAGGTGAGAATTGAAATTAAACCAGGGTTGTGGGTACAGTGCATTCCACTTTAATTCATTCATTAAGAGAAACACCGGCAGGATAATATTCATTGTATTGTGCTTGCTTTCCACTGTGCTCAATTGTAATAGCTGTGACTTAACATATTGCACAACCTCAATGTGATTTATAAATCATAGTTTATAGCTCAACAGGTGTAAAGCCAGGAAGGTGTGATTTATTCAACAAACTTTTGATAAAAGCATGGCTTGGAATCCCATTTAAAAGAGCTGTGTTCGTACACTGTAGGAGGCAAGATCCAAAGGAGCTTTTCCAAAACTGGACTTTCTTGATTTTTTTCCTTAAAATGGATTTGCTTTTCATCCAAGAAGCTCCTTCAGTTCAATTTAGAACTGAGGAAGTTTCTTGAATGAGAAGCAAAATGTTTTGGAAAAGCACCAAAAATATTGTTTGGGACAACCATGGCCTGGATGACTGAGAATCTCCATGGACACGGGTTGTTTGCCTTTATGTGAAAAGATGTGGTTAAAATATTATCATTATCTCTTTATTTTAGGAGGGTCTTTCGATGATAAACTGTCCAGGGAAGAGATGGTCTTTTCTAGTTGCAAATTCCAATTTGCAAATGGTTTATGAAGGAAACAGGAAATAGCATTAGCAACAGCGCTTAGACTTATACACCATTTCACAGGACTTTACAGCCCTCTCTAAGCGGTTTTACAGAGTCAGCCTCAACCATTTTAATTTACCCACCTCAAGAATGGAAGGCTGAGTCAACCTTGAGCCAGTGAGAATCGAACTCCTGGCAGTGGGCAGAGTTAGCCTGTAATACTGCATTGTAACCACTGTGCATCATGGATGGATGGATGGAAGGAAGGAACGAGGGAAGAAATGAAGGAACGGAGGGCAATAGCTATAGAAATTAGAGTTATGTACCACTTCACAGTGTCTTACAGCCCTCTCTCATCCGATTAGAGAGTCAGCATATTGTCTCCAACAATCTGGAAGGCTGAGTCAACCTTGAGCCAGTGAGAATCAAACTCCTGGCAGTGGGTAAACTTGGTTTGCAATATTGCATTCTAGCCACTATGCATCATGGATATGGAGGGAGGGAGGGAGGGAGGAAGGATGGAAGGAATAGCAGTTAGAAATATACCAGTTCATAGTGTCTTATAGACTGTCTAAGCGTTTTACAGAGTCAGTATATGGTCTCCAACAATCTGGAAGGATGGAAAGCTGAGTCAACCTTGAGCCGGTAAGAATTAAACTGCCGAACTGCTGGCAGCCGGCAGTCAGCAGAAGTAGCCTGCAGTACTGCATTCTAACCACTGCGCCACCACAGCTCAGACATTAGAAATGCCTGGTGCTTGCATTCTCACAATCTTTGCTCCACTGCCTTTCAGGTCCTACCTGCAAAGAAAAATACTGCTCCATCCTCACCTTGGAGCGAGAAACCATCTTAAGTTCAATGACCGATGGGCGTTTGAACCACCTCCTGGATGTCTTACGTGCCCAGCAGCTCTTACCCAAGGCAGATTATGAAATGATCACGTCCTACCCAACTTTGACACTCCGGACCCGTGCTTTGATTGACACTTGTCTGAGTTTGGGGGAACAGGCTGCTGAGACGGTGGTGACTGTATTATCCAGCAGTAAAGGCAGCCTTTTGCTGAGAAGGCTCCGGACAAACCCAGTGAATTAAACCTAAATCTCAATTCGGTTTGTACCGTGTCCAAGGGATGCCTCGTGTTACTTCTCAGAAATGCTCATCCTCTTAAATAAATAAGTCAATAAATGCCTGGATTGGATGGAAAAAAAAAGGACGGGCTGCCCACTACCTGAGGGAAAAGCATCAAGGTTTGCTGATTTTGGCATGATATCAGCCTGAGTAGACTCTCAACTTTCTTGTTTTTCCTCAAAAGCAGCAGAGCACAAGGTTTTTATTTTCACGTTGTGTCAAAGTGGCTTGTGGAGCTGTGGGAAATTAAAAAGTCATTTAAGGACAGGGCTTTCCCAGTAAACCTCTGGGAGTAAAAGTGATGTTGCTAATGGCTTCAAGCAAGAAGTAAGGCAGTTGGTCCACCTTCTGGAGCAAATTATACCTTTGGTTCTCCACACCTGAAATCGAGGTGACACAAAGGCAATTCAGAATTCAGGTTTTTCTCAGCTGAGGAATGGGGAAGCGCAATTGCGATTATTTGTCGGCAATGGATCAGAGAATAATGGAAAACTCTGAAATTCAGCAGGTTTGGTGCTAGGAAATCTGCAAGTTATATCAGATGAATTAAAAGATGTGTGGGTTAATTTTCAGGAAATGTAAACGTGCACATGTAAATCTGGTGCTTAAAGATGTGTGGGTTAATTTTCAGGAAATGTAAATGTGCACGTGTAAATCTGGTGCTTGTCTTTCATTTCAAAAACCATACTGTTAAAAAAAATAAACTTTGCATTTGTGCATTTTATTCAGCCAACTTTCTTTAACTGTGTTTTTTTTTCTGAATAAACTACAATAAACTATGTCTGTTTAGATTTACATTTAGACTATATTTGCCAAAAATCTTAATTTGCTCAATGCTACTGAGCCAATCCAAATTAACTGCATTGTGCCCTAATGTGTTGCGTTTTAATTCAGTTTATGGTTTATTAATTAAATGACTATTTCAAATATAATGTGTTGTGTGAACCAGGTCCAATAAGTGTATCCAAACTAGGTTAATTGCATTGAAGTTCTTTTATAACCCTGAGGAAAATAAGAAGGGGATTGATCCAAATATGTTTAGCTATGGTCAAAGCTAGCTTGGTATCTAATTATTTGGAACAAATCATCTTAGATTAATTTCTTTCATTTAACTTTATTAGTAGACTGTGGGAATGGTATGGACATAATAGATCTTGGCCTCAGGAAAGCACCAGACAAAGAACTTCAAAATTGATCGATAAGAATATTAAGTATGGATGGCTCGTTTATGAGATCCTCAAATGATTCAGAAATCTTGTTTAGAAATTGTTCATTAATATGCATTAGTAAACAAAGCCCCCCATTGTTGGAGGTTTTCCAGAAAGACTGGACAAATATTTGTGATTCTGTAACAAAGAGGGAACAACTGTCAAATGCAAGGAATCAGGAGTTGGGATAGAATTGAAATGTACTATGAGTTTATTTCATGCTATTTATACACAGGAATCTGATCTACTAATGGTCAAGGCAAATTGGCACCGGATAAGAGTCAATGGACTTCAAAGGGGGCTGAACTTAGGTCTCTTGTGGGAATGTAGTGACTTCAAACTGATGACACATTTGACTCCACCTTCAGGCACAGCCTGGTCCTCCTACAAGAACATCATCATTACCACCATGCTGAGATCCTGGAAGAAAGAAGGATATGGATTCAGGGGTGGGATTCAATTTTTTTAATAACCAGTTCTGTGGGTGTGGCTTGGTGGGCATGACTTGGTGTAATCTGACTGGCTGGGCATGGCCAACTCAACATCACTCACATCAAGGCACGCATCTCCTCGCCTGGCCTCTCGTGACTGTGGGGATGCTGCAATAGTCATAAGTGTGAAAAATGGCTATAAGCCACTTTTCTCAGTGCCATTGTAACTTTGAATGATCACACTACACAAGCAAAGTACCAGCAAAGGAGAGGAAGAAAAACTCCAGAGAAGTTCCTGAGACAGGAAGTCTAGTCCTGCCAAGAATGTAATAAGGGTTAGCGGAGAGGCAGGTTCTGTAAGCAACACCAGAATGTTTCCTTCCTGCCTTCCTTACAGGATTAGGCCAGTAATTTCTTCTAATAACCGGTTCTCTGAACTGCTTAGAATGTTAACAACCTGTTCGAATCCCACCCCGGGTGGATTTAACAAGTGAGTAAATCTTGGATAAATGTCAAAAACACTGAGAAGAATGATGAGCCGAAGAGGGTGAGCATCTCGCAGGACATAGAACAGTAATGCTTTACCTCATAAAGTATTAAACTGAGAAAAAGAAAGTTCCAACCATTTGTAGAAGGAATTATGGAAATCATTCCCTTTCAAAGTCTTTTTTTAAATAATAATTTTCATTACAGTTTAAAACTACAAAGGTAAAAACCCTAATAAAAATGTTTTAAAAACTAAAAATACAGAGGAAAGAAAGGAGAAGAGAAAACTATATTGAAAAAAAGAAATATAAAGAAATTTGCTTCCTCCTTCATCAAGACAAATACAATTTCAGTTTCACTGCCTGTTGACATTTCTGTCAAAAATCTCTTCATCCCATGCCTTTAAGCGACTGGCAAATAATAAAGTGTTTTTAAAGCCTTTTAATGGCTCTTGAGTCATGCCAATATTATTAGTTTCTAAATATTATTAGTTTCTAAACATTATTAGTTTCTAAACATTATTAGTTTCTAAATATTATTAGTTTCTAAATCTATGTTTATTTTTTTTATAAATGAAGGCTGCCTGGTGCAGTTCATTACAGAATTGCTTTGTATTGTATTAATGAGTGCTATCAATGACTGTGGTTTTGCATTTATTTCTCTTTCATTAGTAGGATTCATGTATTTAACTTTTCTTTTTCTTTTTACAACCGTCATCCCTTAATTCGGGTCAGAGTTGGGGTGACTGAATGGAGCTGAGCATTTACTGGCCTGATGCCCTTCCTGATTCCTAGGCTGAGTTTGCAGTAAATATTTTCTTTCTGCTCCCCGAGAGAGAAACAACTGCCGCTGCCTAGGATCAAATTCTCAGTTTCCCGAATGGGAGGCAAGCATCTTCATCATTAGACCAGCATGCTGCTCATTATTCACGTGTTTAACAATGAAAATATCAAACTCCAGCAGTCTCTATCTGTGTGTGTGTGTGTGTGTCTGTCTCTGTGTGTGTCCCTCCCTCTCCCTTTCTCCCTCCCGCCCGCCTCTCTCCCTCCCTCCCACCTCTCTCCCGCCCGCCCGCCCGCCTCCCTCCCTCCCACCTCTCTCCCTCCCGCCTGCCTCTCTCCCCCCGCCCGCCTCCCTCCCTCCCACCTCCCT